CCTCACTCATTCTATGTAGCTAGTTAAAATTATCCTCATACCAAAGACAGACGAAGACACTACAAAAAAAGAAAACAACAAACCAATATCCCTTATGAACATACATTCAAAAATACTCAAGAAAATACTAGCGAACCAAATTCAACATATTAAAAGGATTATACAGCATGACCAAGTGGGATTTATTCCTAGAAAAGAACAAAAGAAACATAGGAAAATTGATCAATGTAATACACCACATTAACAGAATGAAGGGAAAAAAACCTAAATGATCATCTCAGTTCATGCAGAAAAAGCATATGACAAAATTCAATACCCTTTCACAATAAAAATGCTCAGCAAACTAGGAACAGAAGGAAACTACCAAGTTGGCAGTTAGCTCAGTGGTATTGATAACACCAAGGTCAAGGGTCTGGATCCTGTAATGGCCTGTGACAAAAAAAAATAACCAAAAGAAAACCTCAACATAATAAAAGCCATATATGAAAAACTCACAGTGAGCATCCTAGCATCCTACTAAGTGGTAAAAGACTGTACAATTTTGCTTTAAGATCAGGAACAAGGCAAGAATGCCTGCTTTCGCCACTTCTGTTCATCACAGTACTGCAAGTTCTAGCCAGAGCAACTAGGCAAGAAAAAGAAATAAAAGGCATCCAAATTAGAAAGAAAGAACTAAAATTATTTCTATTCACAGATGACATGATCTTATATCTAAAAAATCCTAATGATTCCACAAAAAACTTTTGGAACTAACAAATGAATTCAGCAAAGTGACAGGATACAAAATCAACACACAAAAATCAGTTGCATTGGGCCAGCCTGTGGCTCACTCGGGAGAGTGTGGTGCTGATAACATCAAGGCCCCAGGTTCGGATCCCATATAGGGATGGCCGGTTCGCTCACTGGCTGAGCGTGGTGCTGACAACACCAAGTCAAGGGTTAAGATCCCCTTACCGGTCATCTTTAAAAAAAAAAAAAAAAAATCAGTTGCATTTTTGTACATAACAATGAATAATCTGAAAAGGAAATTAAGAAAGCAATTCCATTTATAATAGTATCAAAAAGAATAATACTTAGGAATTAACTTACTCAAGGAGGTGAAAGACATGTACAATGAAAAATATAAAACACTGAGAAGGAGAATAGGTAAAGGGGCATGAAAATCAACTACAATGTTTATTGAGAAGTAATATAAAAAATAAATTAAAAAAACACTGAGCAAGAAACTAAAGACAGCATAAATAAATAGGAACATATTTCATGTACATGGCTTGGAAGACTTAATATTGTTAAGATGTTAATACTACACAAAGTGATCTACTACAGATTCCATACAACCCCTATGAAAATCCCAATGACATTTTTTGCAGAAATAGAAAAACCCATCCTAAAATTCATATGAGAATCTCAAGGGACCCTGAATAGCCAAAACAATCTTGAAAAAGAACAACTAAGCCAGAGGACCTACATTTCCTGAGTTTAAAACTTACTACAAAGCTGCAGTAATCAAAACAGTGTGGTACTAGCATAAAGACAAACATATAGACCAATGGAATAGAACAGATAGTCCAGAAATAAACCCTTGCATATACATATCGTCAAATAATTTTTGAGAAGGCATCAAGACCATTCAATGAGAAAAGGACTGTCTTTTCAGCAAATGATGCTGGGAAAACTGGATATCCCCATGCATAAGAATGAAGTTGAACCCTTACCTAATACCATACATAAAAATTAGCTCAAAATGGATCAAAGACCTAAATGTAAGAGCTAAAATATAAAACTCTTAGAAGAAAACACAGGGCAAAAGCTTCATGACATTGGATTTGGCAGTGATTTCTTGAATATGACACCAAAGGTATTGGCAAAAGAAAAAGAGAAAAACTGAATTTCATGAAAAATTTAAAATTTTGTATATCAAAAAACAGTATCAACAGAGTAAAAAGGCAACTAACGGAATGAGAGAAAACACTTGCAAATCTTATACCTGACAAGGGACTAATATCCAGAATATATAGAGAACTCCTACAATTCAACAATGAAAAAACTTGAGTCAAAAATTAGCAAGGGACTTGAATAGACATTTCTCCCAAGATATACAAATGGCCAAGAAACACATGAAAAGATGCTCAACATCAGTAATCATTAGGGAAATGCAAATCAAAACCACCATGAGATAGTGCCTCATACCCATTAGGATGGCTACTATCAAAAAAATTTTAAAAACCCAAAATAACAAGTGTTGGTGAGAATGTAAAGAAATTAGAACCCTTGTGCAACACCAGTGAGAATGTAAAATTGTGTAGCCATTGTGGAAAATAGTATGGTGGTTCCTCAAAAACTTAAAAATAGAATTCTCATATGACTTAGCAATTCCATGTTCACATATACCCAGAAGAACTAAAAGCAGGATCTCAAAGAGATCTTTGGACATCCATGTTCACAGCTGCATTATTCACAACAGCTAAAAAGTGGAAGCCACACAAGTTTCCATTAATGGATAAATGGGTAAACAAAATGTGGTATGTACCTATGATGGAATATTATTCAGTCTCAAAAAGGAAGCAAATACTGAAAAATGCGACAATATAGTTAAACCTTAAGGACATTACACTAAATGAAATAAGACAGTCACAAAAAGACAAATACCTTTTATTCCACTTATATGAGGTATCTAGGGTAGTTAAAATCAGAGACAAAAAGTAGAATGGTGGTTGCCGGGGCTGGGAGAGGGGAAGAAGGGGAGTTATTGTTTAATGAGTACAGAGTTTCAGTTTTCTAAGATGAAAAGAGTTCTGGAGAGTGTGGTGATGATGGTTGCACTTTATGAATTTAACATCTGACTGTCCACTTAAAAACAATTAAGATGGCAAATTTTATGTGTATTTTACCATGATAAAAAAAATTGGGGAAAAATACGATACAAGTACAAAAAGGATAACTGCATACCAATCTCATTTAGAAAATGAAATATTAATGAAGAAAATCCAATAGTGTGAAACTAATCTATCCCAAAAATGGAATTATGGTTCATTATTAATAAATTGTTACTCTGTCACATAAATACATCAAGTAAGAAAAGAAACCATTATTTCAATAGATAGTCAAAAGAGTTGGAACAAAAAATTCCAAACCCATCCCTAATAACTGTAAAAGTGACAGCAGAAGGATGCTTCCTCAGTGTAAAGCATCCATCAAAAGGAGCAGCCACTCATCACAAGCGAAATGTCACCAGTCAGTACATTCAAAATCCAGAAGAAAGAATGCCCTTTATAATCATTATTCCTTTCCTTTCTGTGACTTCTGACCAACTAAAACACCAAACAGAAATAGACTATTTCAGTGCTATTAATAATTATTTCCCTCTTACTGGATATTTACTTGGTTTCCTTCTGTTTTGCTTTTTACTTTAATGAAACTCTGTAATGAATAACTCTGTGAACCCATCTTATGATTAAAAACCAGTGAAGTAGTTCAAAGGATGTGAGGGTTTTTAAGACTCTATACATACTGCCAAACTTCCTGTATGAAGGATGTACTGAGACTATCTCACGTACCCTGTCAACACTGGGTATTATCTTTTTATTAATAATCTTAGCCAATTTGGTTTATTGTTTTTAATTTGCATTTATTTAATTGTGAAGCTAAGTTCTGTCTTATGCCTTTCTTTTTCTGTCCCACCGAACCCCCGCCCCCTTTGTATTTCTACTTTTATAGCTTAGTTATATCCTTTGCGCTATTCAACTGGAATATTCATCTTTTGCTAAGTATCTCATTCTTAACAGTTTCTTTCTTTCTTTTTTTTGTCTTTTTCATGACCGGTAAGGGGATCGCAAACCTTGGTGTGGTGTCACCCGCACCGCGCTCAGCCAGTGAGCGCACCGGCCATTCCTATATAGGATCCAAACCCACGGCGGGAGCGTCACTGCGCTCCCAGCGCCGCACTCTCCCGAGTGCGCCACGGGGCCGGCCCTCATTCTTAACAGTTTCATTAGGAACAGTGATTATTTGACAATATGAATATTGTCAATGTGTATATTAGGTTTGTGATTTTAAAGTTAAACACATTTTTTAAAAATCTACGTAGTGGTTGTGTTATCTACCACTTCCATTTCCATTTCTTCCATGCTCACCCTCCTGTACAAACTTTTAAAAATAATTTAGATTCTTTATACTACCTCGGTAAGTACTAATATCTTATCTTTATTTTATCCATTTCATTGATGGAAAAACAAGTACTGAAAGATTAAGTAATTTCCTTAAGGTTACATAGCAGGCCTAATTCTGGTTCTCTTACCATCACTATATTTCATCAATTCTAAGATGGACATTTTTCATATTTTAACATCTCAGAAACTAGAATACATTTTACAGTTGATGACATATCATAGTTTCATTGGCAGCTTACTAAATTTTTTTAATAATATATAAAATAACGTGTCTTAGAAGAGCAGCATCTTAAACATGCTTAAATATGGTCTTACCTGGGCAAAGACCCAGCAAGTAGTAATAAAGGCTTCTCAGCAGACAGAGCGGGTGTCAGAGTCCATGTGCCCTACGTGGGCCCTCACATAGCGCCCGTGTGCTCTTACTTTACACAACTCTGATTAGGTTCCATGCCCACCAGAGACTAAAAGCAGTAAAGACATAAAAAGAGCCGAGAGAGACTGGCACACGACAGCACAGAGAAGAGGCAACTGAGGGCCCATGAGAAGACGATGAAAGCAGACAAGAGCCGCCAGGCCCACACTTGGAAGCAGGGCTCCAAGACTCGTTCTGGTATAAGTGAAATAAAAGGATTCTATGGTAAATTTGGGGACTCTGGATTGAAACAAACAGGTTTGTTGGTCACAGTACGTTTCGGTATTAGAAAAATCCAATGTGAAAATAACTGTACAATGGACAAGTCTGTCAAACTTGCTATTTATCACTTTCTTGATCTAATCTACTGAATTTCACCTTCTGAACCACTACAGCCACCAATCCCGTAAAATACTTACTACTCCTTTGGAAAGATAGTTATTGACAAAGTCCTTCCAAGTAATTTCTCTCCCGGAGCTCTTGAACAGGAAGTAAAGCATGACTCCACCCCAAAACAGAGAAGTCCAGAAAAAGTACATCCTGAAGTGCTTGTCGTCCCATGGAAAGTCACCCTGGGCAAAGAAGGAGACAACTTCTGTGAAGAATGAAATTCCACAATGTGATCTAAGCTATGTGAGACACGAATTCCTCCCAATGCTGTTAACACCTCCCAATCCTTCCTGGGGCCACCATCATAACCTCAAAATTAACACACAGTTCAGAATCAAACCTTCTGGAACCTGGACCACCAGTGAGAATCATCTTTCTTGCCACCTCGTTTTCCACCACCACCAACTCCTCCTCCTCCGGAAGAGCGCGGGGTAGCATCTGGTTTTGATTCTGTTGATAAACAAAGAGCTCTCAACAGTGTTTTCATTTCTACAGTTTAAGAAAAGACTTACTGTAAAATACATTACATCAACTGATCAGTTACTAAATAAAACACTATGAGAAAGGATTCTAACACAAAGCATTAACATTCTAGGAGGCTTTCAAGTGCTTTACCTGCACTGTGTCTCATGGAATATGCATAATAATCCAATAACCTGAGAAGTATACTACTCTTATATGCACGTGTTTTACAGAGGAAGCAACTATAACTTAAGTAACTGGTTGGATTACTTCTTGCAGTGTTAAGTGACAGTGATAAGTGACAGTTGGGATGAGAATTCTTGAGTTCCCACTCAAAGTTAAAAAATACATACTCCCTTTTCACACTCTCATGAAGTAAACATTGTTAACAGTTTCTTCTGTAGGAAAGCCATAATTTTGTTAATTGGCTAAAAAAAAAAAAAAATACTCACCCACATAAAACTAGCCTGCAAGAATCTGAAATTAGTCACTGTTTTAGGTTGAACTGTGTCCCCACAAAATTCATATGTTGAAGCCCTAATTCTACCTCAGAATTGACCTTTTTTGAAAACAGGGACACAACAAAGGTAATCAAGTCAAGATGAGGTCATAGGGTGAGACCTAATCCTGTAAAACTGGTGTCCCTATACTAAGGGGAAATCTGGACACAGAGACGTAGAGAGGAAAGGTGAAGTGGGGAGACACAGGAGAAGTCAATCATCTACAAGCCTGGAACAGATTCTTCCCTCACGGCTCTCAAGAAGGAACCAACCTGCTGACACCTAGATTTTGGAACTATGAGACAAATTCTGTTGCTTAAGTTTGCAATACTTTGTAACCCTAGCATACTAATGTAGTCACTAACATTCTCCTTCCTTTTGCCACTTCTATATCCTCTCAAAAACCCACAAATACCATTTTAACTTCTTCAACTACCATGAAGCAACCCCCATACTGCAGCAGGATGGGAAGCTACAGGCTCCTGGTCACCCTCAGTGGCTGCATGACAGGCTCTCCACATGGTGCCGTATACAAGAGCTCATGCACCTCTATCTAAAGTGACACAGAGAGTCTGAGACAGGCATAATGTGGACAAGCCTTTACCCTACCCCTAACAGAGCACAGGATTGGAAAACATATAGTCAGCACATTGCTAAATTTGCCTGACAATACTCCAAACAACTCTGGGACAAAGTAACATACATGCAAATGGTACCCATCAGGTTGTATTTAAAAGTGGAGCTATTATCATTAATCTGCCCCCGAACCAAGATTCAAAGATTCCCTCTCATGCCCTGGGAAAACTCTGTAGAAGTGGCCTATGTCCCCAACACTTCAATCGGGAATCCAGGGCCATCATCTGTCCATACTAATGCTTCCCTCCACTTGTCTCTTGGCCTGGCTTTCACTCCTGTGCATCCTCTGAGCATATATTTGTCCCTCCAACTATAAGACAAGTTCATTTAAAAACAAGGGCTGAATTATATTTTTCTGTACATTTCCCTAAAAAGAAAGAATGCCAGTCAAATGTCAATACATGCCAAGCACCGTGCTAAATGCTATCACACTCATGAAGCAGGTGACAAGAGACTCAGAGTCTACACGGTCCCCCCCAGCTGCCCAACTCTAAGAACTCTCTTTGAATCCCTGAGAAAAGGTAAGGTTCTAAGGAACAATTTAAAGAACACTGTCTCAAATAAACTGCATGTATTAGGTTTCTAAGATTTTTCTCAATGGTTTAAATTATGTGTCAGCTAGCCACTGCTAGAAGCCCCCCAGTCTCCCCTGTGGGAATGTCGGGGGTGCCACAGGCCTCAATCCCACCCCTCCTCCTTCCTCCTTCTTCCATCCCATTTCCTTCCCTTCTCCCCTCTCCCCCTCCCTCCCAACTGCTCTGCAACAACATCCTAGAATGTAACAAAAAAATATATTAATAAAATTACCTTTTCTTTCTTTTTTTTTTTAAATTACCTTTTCTTTTAAATAAATAAAGTATGGGTCAGATATCTACCAAATATGCTTAGTTTGATCTGTCAATATTCTAAGATAATCTTAAATTTCTTCAAATTGAAAAATGGCAGGAAAATATGAATAACAAATTAAGATGAAATGAAACACAGGGTTTGTAGAATCTTATATATAATTTTAACTGACAGTTTCAGAACAGACATGATAACTCTTTCTTTGTTCAGTGGAAATTATCACCATCACATATTAGGGGAAAACAATAAATTCAAACATAATCTTTGCAAAAGGTACCTTTTTTCTCTCCCAGAACTTCTTTAGGTTCATCAGCTTTTTTTCCATTTTTTCCATTAGGAAAGTACTTTTCGAATCCTGTTAGAAAAGGAAAAAACTACATATACTCAAACTAAAATTCATCAGGTTTTGTGCATGTGTGTTCACTTGGTTTTTATTTATTTATGTTTTGGCAGCTGGCTGGAACAGGGATCAAACCCCAGACTTCTGTGCTATCAGCACCATGGTCTAACCAACTGAGCTAACCAGCAGGCGCCTTCATTTGTTTTTAAAGCAGCTGATACAATATTAAAAGGCATAAGCTAAAAGTGTATTTCTTGTGTAGAAGTACATCAAAGTTGAAATAATACAGTTCACAACCCAGATGTGTTAAACACAAAAGCCTCCTTTACATATCAATTTCATCATTTATAAAAGTGTTATATTTGAAGGCACCATATTTTCTTTTTTTTTTTTCATTAAATTTTTATTTTGTCAATATACAATGTATATGATTATTATGGCCCATCACCGACACCTCCCTCCCTCGTATATGATTATTATGGCCCATCACCGACACCTCCCTCCCTCCTCCCTCTCTCCCCTCCCCCAAGGCACCATATTTTCATCACTGTAATTGAACAGAAGTTGGAGGTAGGGGAGTGGGTTACAGCAGGAGACAGAAGAGTCAACCCGAAACTAAACCTCTGTGCCTGCTGAGTGAACACCTGCTGATGACAGGTCTCTTTAACAAGAACATGGATCATTATGGTCACACCTAAGTGTTTACCTTTTGGAGGCTGAGAACAGAATCTTTGATAAGCAGCAATCACATCTCTCAAAAGAGAATTTCTGCTGGTTGTCGCTTGAGTTGTAGCATATCGATAAAGCTGCAACATGACAAAAATAAAGCATAAAGATTATATCAAAAAGATTATATAAACTAGCACAGGAAACAATAACAACAACACATAAACTAGCACAGAATGATTCCCTTTCAGAGGGTACTAGGGTTATCTGGCCCTATGTGACTCTATTCTAGCAACAGGACCAGGAGACATATGCTGTTATCCAGAAGTCAAGAATACTTCAAAATCAAACAATTTAGAATTGCAGCCAAATTATAATTATCTGACAACATGTTCACTTTGGCAATGTTTACTTAACTTGCAGCATTTGGTTAAATTATGTGTCTGATATCTACCAAACATGCTTAGTCTGATCAGTCAATATCTCTAAGATGATCTTAAATCTCTTCAAATTGAAAAATGACAGTAAAATAAGAACAGAAAGATACCTGATATATTGTTATACTGGCAAGAATCATGGTTCTACAAGTCCATTACAGATCCATCTCTGCTTTATGTAAAATACGTTGCTAAAAAGTTGTAAACACAGTCTAGGTAAATCGAAGTATAATATAAACAAACCAAAAAAGCTCCTTATTAAAATTTTATACACAGAATTAAAAGCAATCAATGGCAAGGGGCACTGAGGTGATATATACAAATGTGGCAGTGAAAAAGTTCGATCCTATTTTTTTGCAAAGTAAAAATTCACCACATTTACACAGGGTGAGGGAGGGCAAGCTTTTCAATACAGATGGGAATGTTTAAAGTTCATCTGCAGTCTGATGAAAAAAATAAAACATCACCAAGCCAAATAAAACCACATCCACTTAGAGCGGCTATAATCAAAAAGACAGACAAGTGTTGGTGGGGACCTGATGAAATTGGACACTTGTACACTGCTGGTGAGAATGTAAAATGGTGGAAAAGTCTGGCAGATTCTCAAAATGTTAAATGTAGAGTTACCATATGATCCTACCTAAGAAAATGGAAAACATATGTCCACACAAAAACTTCTACATAAATGTTCACAGCAGTATTACTCATAACAGCCAAAAAGTGGGAACAACCCAAATGTCCATCACTGGTGATGAATGGATAAAACGTAATATACCATACACATATGAAGCCCTCTTTATGCTGTATTTTCAAGTTGTGTGGAATATTATTCACCCGTAAAAAGGAATGAAGTACTGATGCACAGATGAACTTTGAAAACATGATGCTAAATGAAAGAAGCCAGACACAAAAGGTTTCATATTATATGATTTCATTTATAAGAAATGTCCAGAATAGGCAAATCCACAGAGAGAGTGGATTAGTAGTTGCCTAGGGCTGGAAGGATGGTTAGGAATATTAAATGAACAAGTTTAAATTTTAACTGAGTTTATTTGAGCTAGGAGAAACAAAACACAGCAAAGCAAAACAAAGCAAAAAACAAAAACAATTCACAAATCAGGCAGCCCTTTGAATCAGAGCAGATTCAGAGAACTCCAACCAATAACATGAGCTGCCAGCAATTACAGGAAAAGGAAGTATAATGTAGAGATGGTTAATTGGTTACAGGTTAATTGGTTATAGAGCCTCCTGCAATTAACTAAAGTTCAGCCACTATAGTTAAACTTCATATTAGTTTGGTCTGTTAGGCTTAGTGCAGAGGCCTAGTCCAAATCAATGGCCTTCTGCAAATTTTATTTAATGGGGAGAAATGGGGGAATGACTGCTAATGTTTATAGGACTTCTTCCTGTAGTGATGAAAATGTTCTGGAATTAGGTATAGTGGGGATGGTTGCACAGCCTTGTAATATGCTAAAAACCACTAAATTATACACTTTAAATCAATGAATTTTACAGCATGTGGATAAAAATGTCAATAAAAAATGTAAAAAGGATAAGCTCGGGCCAGCCCGGTGGCACACTGGAGAGTGCGCCGCTTGGGAGCGCGGCGGCGCTCCCGCCGAGGGTTCGGATCCCATGTGGAGACCGGTTCCCGCTCACTGGCTGAGCGTGGTGCGGGCGCAACACCAAGGGTTGCAATCCCGTTGCCAGTCCCTGGTGCGGGCGCAACACCAAGGGTTGCAATCCCGTTGCCAGTCCCTGGTGCGGGCGCAACACCAAGGGTTGCAATCCCGTTGCCAGTCCCTGGTGCGGGCGCAACACCAAGGGTTGCAATCCCGTTGCCAGTCCCTGGTGCGGGCGCAACACCAAGGGTTGCAATCCCGTTGCCAGTCCCTGGTGCGGGCGCAACACCAAGGGTTGCAATCCCGTTGCCAGTCCCTGGTGCGGGCGCAACACCAAGGGTTGCAATCCCGTTGCCAGTCCCTGGTGCGGGCGCAACACCAAGGGTTGCAATCCCGTTGCCAGTCCCTGGTGCGGGCGCAACACCAAGGGTTGCGATCCCGTTGCCGGTCAGTAAAAAAAGACAAAAAGGGAAAAAAAAAGGATAAGCTGATTTAATCTCAAATAAATACACCATTCTACACAGCAAACAGGCAGAAACACTAACACTGTTCTCAGCTGACCACAAAGCTGGTTTGAGAGAACTGAGAGCTATGTTTTGTTAGGTCCTCCCAACCACCAGAACACTTGGCCTATGAAATAACTACTGATAATGGATAAGAATGTATCATAAGCCAACAGTTTTTTACAATGCCAAATACATTATGGGTATAGGTTAAAAAAAATGTTACTAAAGATAGACAAGTCACAAATCACACTCAGGCACTGAGCATCCACTCCAGGTCAGGTGTTGCCAGGCAGCTGAGAGTCCAAAGGGGAATTAGAACCAATTCCTACCCCTGAGAAATTCAGAAGCACAATGAAGAAAGTCATGGGAACAAATCAGTTACGACATGGTATAATAAATACAATACAAAACCTGTAAGTATACAGAACTGGGATAGCACAGAGGTAACAGAAAAGGTTCTTTATATCACCATACAGGTTAGTATAGAACTGGTCACATGGTATGCATTCCATAAATGTTTGTTAACTAAGAAACCCTCTTTATGCTGTATTTTCAAATTGTGTTGACATGGAATACCCCTAGCAATAATCCCCATGGCTGTATTTAACACTGAAGTTGTTTTCTATTAAGGAATCATCAAAGAAACTTTTTCTCCTCTGCATAGCTAATCCAAGCCCTGGGTGTCTATCATTCAAAGAACAATATAAGAGATGCCAATGCATGAATGTAAGTTTAGAGCACCTCATTTTAGAGAATTAGCTTTTATGTTTGAAAATATGAGCACTTTTCAGTTGCTTTATCATCAGTCTTACTCCTCTGGGCTTAATACCTGAAAACTGATATCTCAACATATCCCTAGGAAACTCACTGTGAGAATAATAGTTGACTTCTAAGCAATACAGGTTAAAACTGCGTGGATACACTTAAACGCAGGTTTTTTTCAACAAATATATTGTAAAAATTTTTGGAGATGTGTGACAATTTGAAAAAAATCACAGATGAACGGCATAGCCTAGAAATATCAAAAAAAATAGGAAAAATTAGGTATGTCATGAATGCATACTGGGGTGAGCTCAAATGTTGCGAGGACCTGCTTAAAACGTTGTTATGGTAATCATTTTCATGTTCAGTTCACCTCTCCAGTAAATCACAGTAAAAAGTGATCTCTGGGCTGGCCGGTGGCGCACTGCAGAGTGCGCCCCTTGGGAGTGCGGCGGCGCTCCCACCAAGGGTTCGGATCCCATGTGGAGACCGGTTCCCACTCACTGGCTGAGCGCGGTGCGGGCGCAACACCGAGGGTTGCAATCCCGTTGCCGGTCCCCGGTATGGGCGCGACACCGAGGGTTGCGATCCCGTTACCGGTCAGTAAAAAAGACAAAAAGGAATTAAAAAAGAAAAAAAAGTGATCTCTCGAGGTTTTCTCTTCCTTACGGTTTTAATATTTTCTTTTCTCTAACTCACTTTATGGTAAAAATACAGTATATAGTGCATATAAAAAATGTGTGTTAATCAACTGTTTACGTTATCAGTAAGGCTTCTGGTCAATGGTAGGTTATTAGTAGTTAAGTCTGGGGGGAGTCAAAAGTTATATGTGGAGGGGCTGGCCAGTTAGCTCAGTTGATTACAGCACAGTGTTGGTAACAACAAGGTCCAGGGCTTGATCCCTGCTACCCATCGGCGGCAAAAAAAAGAAAAGGTATACGTGAATTTTCCACTGTGTGGGGAAGGAGGGGTCTGTGCCCCTAACTCCCACATTGTTCAAGGGTCAGCTGTACTTCTGTATGATCTTTTACAGTAGCATGAACCTAAAGGAAAACCTGTTCTATCAGACTCCCTCGCAGGTAACACAGTAATACCCAGTGTCCCCACGCAGATCTTAAGAGCAGTATCAGGGAATATATGTCATGGATCCCCCCAATTAATCAGCTACAGGTGTCAGCACAGAGGACTTCATTATATCTCAGCACCAGTGATTCAAAGGGACAACAGCGCCACTCAAAAAGACCTTTTAGGTAAGTCTCCTGACATAAAAACTGCAAACTGTCAAGGTAGATCCCTGCCTGCCCACTCGCATGTCGGAGTCCAATGTCCACTAGGGACAAAAAGAAAAGGATCAGACCAAGCAAGACGGGAAAATGAACGCAACCCAAGAAACTGAAAAATGGCCTTGTGCAGGGCAGTATGGAATCAGAAATAAGTAAGGAATTAACCCAAGACTGGTAAAGGAGCCTCAAAGAGTAAGAATCATGAAGACAGGTACTATTATTTCCCCCTTCTAGGTGGAGAGGCTGAGCTAACTTCCTCAAGGGCAATGAACTAATAACTGGCCGAGCTAGCTCCTGTGACTGACCCCAGGGCCTCAACCACTCAACTGTAAACCAGTGCAAGGCTGGACTCTAAAGAACCCACAGACCAAGAAACTGTCACTGAAACAGCCGACACCGACTACCAATGACACAGGAACCCTTACTTGAGACAGACTACTGCCGTGGTTCTGTCACCGCCGTCACACTCCTCACCACCAAGAGAGAAACAGCCTCCTACCGAGGACAAGCCGTGTTACGCTAAAGCGGGGACTCTTTTATGATAACAATAGTATTTATTGGTATCGGCCATGTGCCAGTCCCAGACACCAGCGACGGCCGCCCTCGACCGATGGACCCGGAGCTCGGGGAGGTTAAGCATGCGGCTGCACAGCCTGCGCTCTCCACGACCTCACGCCCGTGCTGCCGGCTCGTCACGCGGCACGCCGCGCGTCCTCTGTCCGCCCATGCGCCCATGCGCCCATGCCGGGCGCCCCGCGGTTCCGGCCCCCGCTGGAGAGCAGCGCGACCCCTGCGCCAGAGGCGCGGGCCTTCCACGGGCCCGGGGCGGGAGAGCCCGTCAGCCCGCCGCCC